GTGTGACGCCTCACAGGGAGTCCCCGGGGGAGACGGAGTCACAGACACCGACAGTCGAAGGGCGCTTGCCAGGGGCCGGGGGAGAGAGACGGGGAGTCAGCGTTTAACGGGGACGGTTTCGTTTGTGCAGGATGAACAGTGTCGTGGCCAGACGGAGGTGGCGGCAGCAGAACACGGCGAATGTCCTCGACACCCCGGAGCGCGCGACGCTTAAACTTCAGATGTTGAGACGGTAAATTTTATGTCCATTTAACCATAATTTAAAAGAATTAAAAGTACATCAGGCATAATTCTCAGTGCTAATAGGGATGGTGAGGGTGGGACTTGGCAGGTAAAATCGTCTCCACATGCATTTTGGTGACACTGAGTCCATTCACAATTCCCGCACTCACGATCCCGCGGCTCGGCTCAGACTGCTGAGTGCGAGCTCGTTTACCGCACCGCCCCGTCGCGTAAAAGCCCGGCCTGGAGCGACAGGGTCGTCCGTGAATACGCGGCCAGTGAGTCAGTGACGGCGCCGTCATCGAAGAGCCCGGGACGGTCACGACGAAGGCAGTTGTGCCAACGTGGAGAGGAAAGCAAAGCCGAGCGCACTGAGCAGGAAAGATGCAGATCGATGCACGTAGTATAATCTCATTAAAACAGGAAAGCCTAAGTACGTGACCAGGTGTGTGTGCGCGTGTCCACTTGGAAAACTTCTGGAAGCAGAGCTATCGAGATCGTGATATTGGTTACCTCGTCCGTCTGAAATACGGCGTAATAAGCTCAGGTAAAATGCGGACGAAGACAAACCGAAGCAGCGGGAACGCGGACAGACGTGAGTGAGGACGGCGTCGCTGGTCGGGAGACCTTTACTTGCCGTTTTCCATGCTTTTCTATCATGTTAACTTTTTATACTAAATAGGAAAAGCGAATAAAAATAATTAAACCACTCAGAAATCAAAAAAATGTACACACGCTTTATCGCTTTCTAAAATATACACGTAATAAAAATAAAAGGAAGGAAAGAATAATACAAGACACTGTGAAAACGAGTGTCTGTCCGAGAAGAAGTGTGAGGACGTGACTCTGGCCAGGCTGCAGGGAGCGGACTCGGCCGCCTCGGCGATGTCCTGTCGCGAACGTCTGCGCTTCTGCCCGGACACAGAGCGTTTGCCCCACAAGCCCCTGAATTGCGCCCCTTGTTCCCGGTCGTCATGGAATTTGCTAACTCTCACTCTTGGCTTCGCAGGGGACCTTGTGAGCTCCCAGCGTGAAAAGCGACTTGTGTCCCTCCCGCTGGAATGTCCACGGGCCCAGGACCTCGCGGGGCCGAGGGATGAGTCACGGCTTCTTGGAACTGTGGGAACTAATCCAGGAACAGCTGCCAAGTAAGTAACGCGGTGAAAAATAGCTCCCGGTCCCTGGAAAAGGAGCCGCTTATTTTAGGAAGACAAGCGCGGCTTGAGTCTGCGCTGCTGGTGTGTTCCATCCGCGGGGCGCAGCGCCAGTGGCCCAAGAAAGCCGTGCTTGTCCCAGGGGAATGCCGTCTGTGGGGCCGGTGCGACAGCGCCCGGCATTGCCGGGCAGGGGCTAACCGGGGTGAAGTCTGAATCGCCCCGTGTGGAATGCGTCGTCCCTGAGGCGTGACTGTGGGGTGTGACCCACTGAGGCGTGCTCTCTTCCGGTCGGCGGTCCTGGGGGGCAGCGTGCGCGCCGGGCGCAGCGGGAGATGCCAGGCCAGAGGCCTCGGTGCCTGGGTCTGATGAGAATAAGAAGGGGCTCGAGCTCGACCGACAGACACGTCCTGCGTAGACGGATGTCGGCGTCTTGGCACGGTCACTTCCGGGCCGTCCTCTCTCCCCGAACTTCTGCGTGGCAGTAGGGGGGTGGCAGCCACCTCCCATGTTGTCTGTTTTTCTATGTTGTGATCCACTGTGGTTGACTTATTTTTGGCTTAAATGGCACCAAAGATGCAGGTGGACGAGTTAAGTAGCGAGGACGGATTTCGACCAGTGGCGCTCTACGGTAATGGGGGCCTGATCGCCACATGGATTGCTACAGAGGTGACCGGCATTCTGAAGGGAAACTGAGGGACGAGGGAGGGGGCGGGGTGGGCCGGCCAGCGTCCGGGCAGGGGACAGTCAGGACAGCGGGGAGGGGGTTGGCCCACAGGAAACCACCTGGGTTCGCCGACCGGCGCTCACCAGGTCAGGCCCCAGCCTCCCGCGGAGGGTGGAGGACAGGGCCCTGGCCTCAGGGGTGTCCCCTGGCAGCCTTGAGCTTTCTCAGACGGGCACTCTAAGGGGCCCAGGACCCCCCCAGGGATGTGGCCTTGGGCCGTGAGAAACACGAGATGTCAGTCCAGGGAGAGAATTTTTGTCCATGGTCCACAGGTTAAATTATCTTGGAAGAAGGGGTCACTGGAATGCTTTGTAAACAGGTGGGAACATGACCTTGAACCCAGTTTTTACCTCGTAGAGGTTCACAGGTCATCTCAGGTCAAAGAGTTGGAGTTGTAACGTTTACTGTAGATGTAGACGTTTTTCGTTTACAAAAAGACGCACGTTCTAAATTTGGAGACTGGTGACAGCATCAGCAATGACATTGTTGTCCTGGGGCCCGCGTCCCCACGTCCCCCGCATCTCCTGCGTCCCCACGTCCCCCGCGTCCCCCGCGTCCCCGCGGTGTTGGGGACAGGTTAGCAGTGAGAGAGGACAGGCCCGAGAGGAGCCACTCGTGGGTCAGAGGCCGTCCACAGCATCTCCCGCAGCCACGCGACGTACTGTCACGTAGTACGTGTCCCCAGCTGCCCTGTCTGTGACAACCAGACCCGATGAAGTGCCTCTGCCCTGACGCGTTCAGGGACCCCTCTCAGGCCTTGCTCCGCGGAAGGCGCTGTGGCCCCTGCCCTCATTCCCAGTGCTCCCCAAGGTCCCTCCCACCCTGGGATCGGCCTCACGCAGCCTCGCGCACACGCTGGGAGCCCCACGGAGCCCAGGGCCAGCCGGATGGCTCGCCCCAAATCTCCGGCCGCCACAGTCCCTGCCTGAATGTGGCCCCAAAGGCAGGGCAGTTAAATGGTCATTTGCTCCCTATGTCGCCCCCACGTTGCCCGTCCCTGAGGAGCGTGCGTAGTGTAATGTAGGTGTTCGCAATAACACACAGGAAGCCCCCATCCAGACGTGGTTGACTCGTGGGGCTGCACACTCGGAGGGGCTGGCTGTCCACCGCTCCAGACTGGGTGCCCCGAAACGCGCTCACCCCTTTGCATGGGAGCAGGGGGTGGGGGCGGAGGGCTCGGGCTCGCCCGCCAGAACCTGTGGGTGCGAGACCAGCGCTGGGCCCGGTCGTGATGGAGCCTCGAGTCCAGCTCAGCTGTCACGGTCACCGTCTGCAGGAACCGGAAGCCGGCCAGCCTTCTCACAAGCCAGTGACGTTGAAAGGCGGGCTCTGGGGAGTGCCAGGTTTACGGGTCGTCGGCCTCCGTCGCCGGCAGACTTCTGTTTTCCTCTGTCCCTGGAGCAGGCAGAAGGCTGGTTGGGGGTGGGGGGCAAGGCAGGCATGTCATTTACGGCGAGGACACGAGAGGGTCGCGGTGACACAGGCCGCAGGACCGAGGGCGGCAGCGATGCCCCGTCTGTCCCTTCGTGAGTGTGGCTCCAGGGCGATGGGTCAGGCAGGCGCTCTGGTTTACGTCCGGCTTTGAAGGCGCTCACAGCACGGGCAGCTGCGCACTCTGAAGACCAATTCGAGTAAATCCGAAAAGCAAACACGCGGAAGAGGAATCGCGAACCGAGCCATGTCCCTTTCGGCCGGGGCTGGGCTGTCTGAGAGTGGCCCCCGCCCATCTTTCAAGGTCCTTTGGGGTGCCCCTCCCCTGACCTCATGCAAACCCATCAGTCCCCCACCATGGAGAAAGGCTTCCTGGGTTCTCACGGGACAGGGGTGGTCAGGCCCTGGGTGCTGGGGTGTCGCCTCATCTCTTGGGAGAGCCACAGAAAGCAGAAGAGACTCATGCACGGACCCTCGATGACACCTGCCGCCCGCCAGAGGCCAAGGAGACGGCATTTCCCCTCCGGGGCCCAGGTCCCTCGCTGCTTCTCTGAGTCGGCTACTTTGCAGGTGTCACCTCTGAGGTTTAATCTTTTAAGCATAAAAAAAACGTGCAATAGAGAGAGAGACGATGCTCCCGCAGAAGAGACAGAAAGTGTGCAGGGTGCACGGATCCCCCACGGCGAGTGGCGACGGGGCGGAGGGAGCCTTGTGCGTCACCTCCCGCCCGGGCTGTCCCCTGGTGCACGCAGTCTGTGCTCAGGAGTGTCGACCC